AGGGGGGGAGGAGCTCCCGGCGCTCCGCGAAGCCGCTTCTGCCGCGGGGAGCAGCGCGCCGGGGCCCGGAGGCCAACGCCGCCCCCGGGGCAGCGCCGCCGGACGGGCTGGACGGGGCGGGCTGCCCGCAGGTGGCATCCCGGGCTGCTGCCAGCGGCAGCGAAACTTCTGGTGCTCTTCGCCTTCCATGGTAATTAGAGTTCTTTGGGTTTTTGGTTAGAGAGGTGGCATTAAAAGTGTCCATTAAGCATAAATGGTAAGATCCCCCCGGCCCCCGCCTCCCAGCAGCGACCCCGGCAGAGCTCCGTCTGGGCGTTAGTGCCGGGGCGCCCTTGCAGAGCACAGCGCTGGCCAGTTACTGCCTGCGGAGATCTGGAGAGCATTCCCCATCCCTGCTTTCCAATGAAATTCGTTTGACATCTGGGTGGAAGTTACTCTGTGTGGATTTCATCTCCCTTTTAAAGCCCTGAATTAATTCTGGGTGCCAAGATTAGGACACACCAGCAGTTCAAGCTCCGTCACAGATTTGAGTGCAAACCACTCCCGTCCCGTGTGCTGTTGTCCCCCAGGGGGTACAAAGATTATGATACTTTGGCCTCTGTTTTTTCTTACCTGCTTAGGCACTGGTCTTGGAGGGAATTTCCTGCGGATGAACTCCTCGATCAGGATGGGGACAGTCACCTCTACGCTCGGTGGGACAGGGAGGGGCTGTCTCCCATTATGAGCATTGTGCACTTCACCCGGAGAAGCACGGGGTCTTATTTCAAGTAAGGCCCTTTGTTGCTATGGTAATACAAATGAAAAACCTATACTATGGTAATTTTAGCAAAATACCTCTTTTTTTTTTTTTTTTCTAAACTAAATTGGACTGTGGTTCAGAATTGTGTGGGCATACAGAAATAGTCATGCTGGTATTCTTCAACCGTAGTTGTTAAACAGCAGTTGTGTAGAGGGCTGTCAGTGACTGTGGCTGTGGGCAACTTGGGTTTCTTTTTCCCTGATATTGCATACGATTTTTATTTGACTTTGTAAAGGTTTCTTAGCATGGTTCTCAGCCTTTATCTGCAGAAGGGAGCTAACTGGTTTTACTGACCACAGCGCCATGTATAAAGAGTTTTGTCTTTTATATAATAGTCTGTAATAATCTGGTTAATGAAAGCCTGTATTTTAAGAGCCTTTGCTGATAATGGCTGTCAAAGAGGAAGGGCACATTAAGTAAGGTCTCCCAGGGAATTATCTGGGAACAGTTTTGGTCAGTGTTTTCTGTAGTAACTTGAGTGATGGAATGGAAGGCACTTTTATAACATTTTCAGTGATTCCAACCGCAGAGTGCAGGGCTGAGATTTAAAATGACCCTGAAATACTGCAGACCCGGTCTGAACTCAACACAATAAAGTTCTAGAAGAAAAAATATGTAGTATGCCACATAGGAAGGAACATCGCATGTCAAATGAGGACTATTAGGTAAAAATACTGCAGAGGTGAATCTTGGGACTAGAGCGGATTGTAGAGTGTGCAGTGCTGCAAAACAGTCATGTTGCTCTGAGCTCTAGTAACAGGAGGATCATATGTAAGACATGGGAGGGCGTTATTTCTGTTCCATTTAGCACTAGTCAGACTTGGCTGAAGCACTCTATCCAGTTTCAAGCATTACACTTACTCTTAAAGAAAGATGTAGGCAAACAAGATAGGGGAATAGGAACCAAAACTGCAAGAAGCTTAGGAAATGTAAGGAACGAGGAAAGATAGAATTGGATTATTTGATCTGGAGAAGAAAACACAATGTAAGGACATGGCAACTGTCTTCAAATGCATGAACACATTTATAAAGTTGTCAGTAAACACTTGTTGTGTGACTGCCAGTAGTAGGATAAAAAGTAATTTACTAAAGTGCAATTAGGGAGATTACTTGAGGTATCAGGAAAAAACAGACAAATCAGACAAAACTATTACTGTGTGAGTAGCTAATCTAAGAAGGTTGTAAAGCTGTTCAGTGAAGATTTAAAGAAAAGATTAGATAAACAGCTATCAGGACTGGCTGTAGCATGCATGACCTTGCCTCAGGGCAGGGGAGATTTTCAGTGATCTTCTGAGACATTTACCAGCTCATAATTCTGTGATTTCTGATTGTCCAATCCTTTAAGGAGGAGGCACAGCAGCACGGCACAAAAGGAGAACTCGTTGCCACCCCATGTGATTAATCCAGTATTTGTACTATTTTGATAAATCACTCTGGACTATGCTGTTTTGTTCATTAACATCTGGAGACAAAGAGCAGCTCACGGAGACAGACAGTGAGAGGCACTGTCCATTACAGGTAAGTAGTTTTCAAATCAAATTTTGAGCAATAATGACTGCAAATTTTTACTACTGACTGACCAGTGTAAATATAAATGTTCTAGAACTCTCTTGGTACCCACTGTAGAAATCACCACCTCATCTGGACACTTGGTTGACAGAATCAGGTGAGGTCAAGGGCTTATTGACATTGATATGAGAAATAAAAGTCATGTGTGAGATCATCGGCTGTGGGCAGATTAAATCTGTTCTGGCCAGTGGAGTTCTTTACTCTTCAAACATGTCTTGCCTGCATCCTTCATGAGCACAGAATTCATGTGAAAAACAAAAGTGGAACATGCCCTTGAAAATAACAAGTGGTGCACCAGCAGTTTTTCTGTAGCAGTAAGCTGACTGCATGGCGAACTGGCTGAGGATTCCCAGAGTAAATCTACTACTTTGTGCTCCTTCAGGAATTAGCGTTGCCACAGAGAAAAATTTTAATCCTACTTTCATTACTTTTGCAGCCTGTGGCTGCTTTTTCTTCTGTTCCTTTGATTGTTGACATTGAAATCCTGCTCTATCGTTTCCCTGGCTTTTGCAGATAATTCCAGTGTCAGTCTACAGTCAGGAGCAGTGCTGCCAGCAAAACAAGGTATTTCAACTTCACAGCACCTTTCACCTTTCACTTTGCAAACAAAGCAAGAGGCTAAATTAATTTCTTATATATCAGAACTTAAATATCTACATGGCTGAAAGGTGAGAATTTTCAAAACCAAGCTACAGACCAAGGATTATTCACAAAACTTATTCATCAGAAAATTTCAGCTAATGAATACATTACAGAAATGCCATCTGTTTGAGAAAATATCTCCAAACAGAGATAGAAGAAAACCTCTTTGAATAAATTATGGATGGCAAATTATTCACCTGGTCTTAGAAAACTTAATGCTTTTGTCTTCTAAGGTTGCTATATAATGTATATGCAAAATGTTAGGCTGAAAGTGCATAGCGCAGACTACTGTTGTATAGAAGTTCAAAAAGGTTTCAAAAAAAGAACGTGTCAAAACCTGTGATACTGTCTGCCATGTGTCAGTGCTTTTCTCACACTGAACCAGAGAATTCCCTTAAGAAGAAGGAAATCTGTACCTTTATTTCTGTTTATGCCCAGATTCATTCATACCTTGATTTCTGCTATTATAGGAAGAGAATGGTACCTATACTTATGATTTTGGTATCGGGTACAGACTGTTTAGGGAAGTGAGAGAGGATGCAACCACTCAGTCATTAGCACCATCCCCAGGAAAGGAAGCAGCAAGCATTTGTCAGTCTTCAGCTCTATCAGCCCTTTCAATGTGACAGTCCTACTGGGAAAGAAGAGCTTTAACTAGCTAAAGATTAAGGTAATGATCATGGCTTGCTCTGAAATTCTCAAGCTGTGGGCACTAGTGGGACATCTTGGTTCACTCTATGCAACAGTTAATCTGGTTTCAGACAGTCACTATTGTTTGATGAGATGCTGGGCATGGTCGTATTTGCAGTCCTCTCGAAAAGGGCTTGGGGGTCTTGGTAGACCACAAGCTGAACACAAGCCAGCAATGTGCCTTGGTAGCACAGAAGGCCAACAGCACCCTGGGCTGTAGCAACAGGAACTTAGAGATGTGATTACTTGCCTTTCCTCGGCACTCGTTAGATGATGTCTAGAATACTGCATCCAGTTCTGGGCACTCAGGACAGGAAAAACATCCATAAACTGGAGTGTGTTCAACACAAGGCCACCGAGATGGTCAGTGGATGGAGTACATGCTCTGCTGAGAGACTGAGGGAACTGGGCTTCTCCAGCCTGAAAAAGAGCAGGCTTTGGGGAGACCTAAGAGCTTCCAGTATCAACAAGAAGGTTATCAGAAAGATAGAACCAGGCTCTTCATAGCGGTTTATGGCAGAAGGGCAGGAGATAACAGACATAAATTGAAACAAAAAATTAAGGAAAAATTTATTTCCATGAGGACAATCAAGCAGCGGAGCAGCCCAGAGCGCTTGTGCTGTCTCCATCCATGGGGTTTTTCAAAAGCCAATTGGATTAAGCCCTGAGCAACCAAGTCTGCTCTTGTAGCTAACCCTGCCTTGCACAGGAGGCTGGACTGGACACCTCCTGAAGTCTCTTCCAGCCTGAACAATTCTGTGCTTCGAGAGTAATTGCTGTTTGAAATTGTACTGCCACTGTCAGCTTCCCCTGAGGAGTTCAAGGTGACTGCTCTGAAGGGAGATCCGTCCCCTTAAGGTAAGCAGATTGCATGTTGGCTGCAGGTGGACCCAGTTCTCTTGTCGCTGTACGATGATGCATTTCTCTGCTAATTTATGGCCTATGAAGGCATTTTTGTTGCTTGCTCTTCTTGTGTCTTTTCTTGTGAATAGCTCCATTACTCTTAGTGCAGTGCTTCTGTAGCACACCTTTGCATGGATGAAGCTTCGAAACACGTCCCTGAGTTTTATTAGAAATAACACAGTTAAAATAATAATTTGTCTTTTGCTGGAATTCACAGAGGTGCTTAGATCCAAAAGTGTTATAATAGCGTTGCAATAGTTGGGCACTAGACTCAACAATTCACATTCCTGTATTTCTACGCTCCTCACATAGTGCACTCCCTCCTTCCACCAGAATAAGCT